TCCAGCCTCTGCTCAAAGACCTCCAGTTTTGTAGTTTTGTGACACATTAGAGAGCTCTGGTGCCACAACAAACCGCAGTTCCCCCAATTCCATAGCATTGAGCCATGGCAGTTAAAGTGGTGTGAAACCAGATTATATCTGCCATGAGGATGCAGCCTTGGGCTCTTCCTGCTCTGGCCCCAAAGATGTGTTGAGATTTCATATTTGGTTACTGGAGTATTTCTTTAGAGACGGGTGACCGGGTCTGCACACCCTGCAAGGTCCAATACAGTAATATCCAAAATCCAAAATAATATCCAGGATCCACAAAATTCCCAGAATTCCATTGCCTTGAGCCATGGCAGTTAAAGGTCTGAAACACACTGCAGAAATAATCCAGTTTGAGACTGCTAAAACTGCCTTGGCTCAATGCTAATGAATCCTGGGAATTATTGTTTATTGTAGCACTAGAGCTCTTGATAGAGAAAGCTAAATGTCTCACAAAACTACAATTCCCAGAATTTCCCAGCACTGAGCCAGGGCAGTTAAAGCAGTCTCAAACTGGATTATTCCTGCAGTGCAGATGCAGCCATGGGCTTCTTGGTTTCTCTGCTGGAGATGTATCGGTGCCCATCAGCTTTACCAAAGAGTTTGTCTTTCCCAAAAATTCTGCATCCAGCCAGAGTACAATCCTTCAGCACTCTGCAAATCTGTACTGGCTTTTCTGCTGAGCCATAGAAGAAGCCACACTCTGAATTTAAAGGTTTGCTGGCTGCTAAGAAGGAAAGGTCAAAGGCAAGCAAGCACAGCCAGGAGAGAGAAGCAGACTCCCTCCCAAAATGCTACAATTAAAACCATGTTGCTGTCTGTCTGTTTCAAGGCTAGCAGCTGCGCCTCTGGCAAAGGTGTTTGCCTAAAATAAGACCCCACTGTAACCTGCATTGAGCTTTAGCAATGGTGTGTGTGTGCTTTTTGCCTTCAAGTCCTTTCCAACTTATGGCCACCGCATCATGGGGTTTTCTTGGCAAGATTGGTTCAGAGGTTTTCCATCACCTTCCCCTGAGGCTGAGAGAGTGTGACTTGTCCAAGCTCACCCAGAGGTTTTCATGGCTCAGCTAGGATGCAAGCCCTGGTCTCCAGAGTCATAGTCCAACACTCAAACCACTGCACCACACAGTTTTCAACGAACGCAATAGTAGTGTGGTAGTAAGCCCCACTGCAAAAAATGGGACTACATTGTATTGCAACATTCACAATTTTTTTTTAAATTAGAAATGTTCAACTAGTTTCCATTTTATTTAATGAAGCGGTTTCCTCCCCCTTGTCTTCTGAGAGAACCGACATGAGTTCATTTAACTGTGGTCCAAAACACACTGCAACAATAATCCAGTTTCACACCGCTTTAACTGCCCTGACTCAATGTTAGGGAATCCTGGCATCTGTAGTTTTGCAAGACCTTTAGCCTTCTCTATCAGAGCGCTCTGGTTTCACAATCAACTACGACTCCCAGGATTCCCTAGCACTGA